TTGCCCCATGTAGGTTACTCCAATTGGCAAGGGGCAGCACATCTAACATAAAGAGACAGGAGGATGAACATGGCAAGGCAAGCCTAGGTTGCTAGGGCAACAGACAGGGGGGTGCTCACTTCAGTGGAAGGCCTGGGGAGAAGCCCCAGAGACGAGATGACGTGGGAGGAGCCTTATAAGCTCAATGGAAGCAGGTGAGAAACAGGCTTCTGGGCAGAGACAGCGAAGGCTGAGAGGGAGAGGGTGTGTGGTGCTAGTTAACTGAGAGTTTTAAAACGTTCAGTAGTTTAAACTTGGGTCTGGCCCGAGGAAGAAGGTTAAGTACAGGGCTGAGGTGTCTGCTGAAGCAGGAAATAAATTTGTACTTTCTCCTAGGGGCAAAGGAGAGCAACCCTGTGGGCTTAAAAGCCCAGGTTTTGAACAGCCTGGGTTTGTTCGGCTGTTACAGCGTGAATACGGTTGTGAAAGGCTTGGCCTGCACTCTGCCCCGTGGAAGGCTGAATTACACTCTGCGTCCTTAGTCAGGGCGTGGAGAGTGACCAATGGGGCCTGGACTTGGCTTCTCTTAAATAAGTTCGGGTCACATTGTGCCAGGCAATGAAGTGTCGGGAATCCAGAAAGGACACCACGCATCCGTGACAGGTGAGGTGTTCAAACAAAGCCAGGAGCGAGGTGGGGGCTGTGTGGCTGTGCGCACTAGAAACAAGCTAGCGCGCGCCCCAAGGAGACCACTTGTCATTTCACAGAAGAACTGCCCTAGATTTCGCTTCCAGAGCTGTCCTCTCAGAAGGAGGGAGAAAATCAGGTGACCTTAATCTTGTGGTTGATCCTGATCCTGGGAGAGTCAGGTAGGGGTGACCCAACAAGCGTGGGCTTGGGCAGCGGAAGGTCCGCATCTGAGTTCTCCTACGTACTACTTGTGTCCCTTGAGACAATGTGCACCATCTTTCTGACTTTGAGAGCTGTCATCCCAACCTCAGAAGGCATTTCTGAGAAGTTAATGAGGGCATCTATGAAAGGGGCCTAAACGAACCCTTGGTCTTTTAAACAAACAAGCAACAAATCAAAACTAAAGGAAACCCCCTAAAAAACACTGGCTATCAGGTTGGTGCACCTCATGCCTCCGTCATGTGTATCAGAGTCTGAAATGTCCTCTCTGGAGCTTCAAAGCTGTGACCTTTGGCAGCAGACCACCGGGCCTTTCCTTCGTGGGCACCTCTGGGTACGTGCGAACTGTCAACCTTCCAGTTAGGTGCTGCTTCCACCACTCGGGACTCACTCCCACTGGCATAGCGTCAACACCCCTAAGAGGTTGTTCTGGGTGTCATTGTTCTTCGGTGCTGTCGAATCGGTTCAGACCCATAATGTCCCCATGCACAACAGAAGGAAACGCTGCCCGGTCCTGCGACATCCTCACATTGATCCTGTGCCCGAGCCCACTGTGGCAGCCACGGTGTCTGTCCATCTCATGAAGGGCCTGTCTCCTTTTTGCTGCCCCTCCACTTTGCCAAGCATGATGTCCTTCTCCAGGGTCTTGTCGGTCAGTCTGTCTGACTGTGGTGGCTTGTGTATTGCAAGCTATGTCACTGGTATTTCAAATGCCAGTGAGTCACCCACGGTGAAATTTCCACAGTTTCCGGAGTATGACCAGACAACAAAGAAGGGCTCCGCTGCCCATTTCATAGGAAGTAGCCACTGAGCGGGGCAGAGGGAAGGGAAAACCGCAAGAGGTAGCTCCTCTTGAGACCCCTGGTGTGGCGGGCTATGCGCTGGGGTGCTAGCTCAAAGGTCAGAAGTTTGAAACCAC